TGGCAAGAAGTTTGCTTACTGTCACGGATAAGAAAACCCATATCTGGATAACGAACCCTTATCCTCGACCTTTAAAAATCATGAAAGACCAAACATTGGCTTATGGAAGTCTTCCTGCAGGGGTAAATTTTATAGAGAATAAAGAGAAGCAGAATGAAAATGACGAAATACAATTTCAAATAAACAAAAATTTATCATTTAAAGAACAAGAGAGGTTAAAACAAATTTTGGCCAAGTATACTGATTTGTTCTCATCGAGGTTAGGTAGGACCAGTTTGGCAAAACATCAGATTCATACAGAAGACGCAAAACCAATAAAGCACAAGCCTTACCGGGTAAGCGCTAAGGAACGAACCATCATAAAGGATCAAATAGACGAGATGCTCGAAGAAGGAATAATTAGACAATCTTCAAGTCCCTGGTCCTTTCCCGTTATATTGGTCAAAAAACGAGATGGCAAATACAGATTTTGTGTGGACTACAGGAAATTAAATGAAGTAACAGTGAAGGATGTTTATCCAATCCCAAGAATTGATGATGTAATGGATACTCTCCAAGGATCCAAGTACTTCTCAGCAATAGATCTCAAATCGGGATATTGGCAAGTCGAAATTGAAGAGAGAGACAAAGAGAAGACGGCTTTCACTACTGCACATGGGTTATATGAATTCAACGTAATGCCCTTCGGTCTATGCAACGCCCCTGCTACTTTTGAGAGGAACATGGACAATGTCCTCGGAAATCTGAGATGGCAGATTTGCCTTTGCTACCTGGACGATGTAATTATATACAGCTCGGACTTTCCAACCCACATTAAAAGACTTGAAGCTGTCCTCAGATGCTTCAGCGAATCTAATTTAAAACTGAACGCCAAGAAATGCAGATTTGCTTTCGAGGAACTTGAGATCCTTGGACATATAACCAACCAAGAGGGTATAAAACCTGCCGAATATAATATCAAAGCCGTTAGAGATTTTCCTCAGCCCAAGAAGGCCAAAGAAGTGCAATCATTCCTAGGAATGTGCTCATATTATAGAAAATTTATTAAAGATTTCTCATTAATCGCTGACCCATTGACCAGTCTCATCAGAAAAAATGTGCAATTTATCTGGACAGGAAAACAGGAAGAAGCGTTCCAAAACCTTAAAAAAGCTCTTATGAATCCGCCAATTTTAGGTCACTTTGATCCAAATGCAGCCACCTGCATTCACACAGATGCCTCTAACATCGGCTTAGGCGCAACACTAATTCAAAATATCGGTGGCGAAGAGAAGGTAATATCATATTTGAGCCGAACCCTAAGTAAACCTGAGCAAAATTATTCAACCACCGAAAAGGAATGTTTAGCTGTAGTGTGGTCGATATCAAAATTACGGCCCTATTTATATGGAAGACACTTTAAAATCGTAACTGATCATCACGCACTATGCTGGCTTAAGAATTTAAAAGATCCGACCGGTCGATTAGCACGATGGGCACTGAAGATTCAGGAATATAATTTCGAAATTATACACAAATCGGGAAAAAAACATCTGGACGCTGATGGTCTATCTAGAGGACCCTTACCAGAAAACGAATGGGACGAGGATTATGAAAGACTATTTTTGAATCAAATAATAGACGAAAAGGATGATTTTATTGAGAATATTAAGGAGAACCTTAGTGGAAACAAGCGTTCAATTACACAGAACTTTAAAGAAGAAAATGGGTGTCTCTACAAGAAAAATCCAAATCCTGAAGGTAGAGAATGGTTGCTGGTAGTGCCAAAGAAGAGAAGGAAAGAAATCATGAGTGAATACCACAACCATATGCTGAATGGCCATCTGGGCGTCGCCAGAACCACATACCGATTGAAGAATAAATACTATTGGCCTTCCATGCTGAAAGATGTTTCCGAATTTGTAAAGACGTGCCATCTTTGCCAAAGTCGGAAAGGTTCAAATCAGTTGCCATCTGGACTTCTACAACCTATTCCCCCAGCTAACTACCCTTTTGAAAGAATCGGAATTGACTTTGTTGGCCCCTTGCCATCAACGAAAAGAAGAAGGAAATGGATCATTGTGTTGACGGATTATTATACCAAGTATGCTGAAACAAAGGCAGTACCAGAAGCGACAGTGAAAGAAGTCTCTACATTTTTAATCGAACATATATTTTTACGTCACGGGGCTCCAAGATTTCTTATCAGCGACAGAGGTTCACAATTCACTAGCAATTTGATGAAGGAGGTTATGAAAATGTGCAAAGTTAAACATTGCTTCACAACGAGCTACCACCCCCAGACTAACGGACTAACGGAACGGCTAAATAGAACTTTAATCAATATGATCAGCATGTATGTGAATACGGATCAGAAGAACTGGGACGAAATCCTTCCTTTTATCACCCACGCATATAATACCACAATTCAAGAAACCACAGGCTACTCTCCATTTTTCCTGTTGTTTGGGAGGGAACCCATGTCCCTCTTAGACGACGAGAATATCCCAACGGACAGTAACATGGACGATTACGACGAATATATAGAAAACTACTTAGATAAAATAGCAAGGACGAGACAGGTAGTCATTAACAACACAGAGAAGACTCAGGAAAGAATGAAAAGAAACTATGACAAAAAACACAACGAGAGAATCTATGAACCAGGACATTTAGTGGCAGTTTGGACACCAGTCAGGAAAATCGGAAAATGTGAAAAACTATTGAGAAAATATTTTGGGCCATATCGAATATTAAAGAAGCTGTCCAACGTAAATTACTTAATTGAGCCGAAAGATAATCCTGGCCAAGACCCATTGATTGTCCATGTCTCAAGACTCAAACCCTATTTTGAAAGAATTGATGAGGTCACTCACGAGGACGTGACGACCTCTGGAGAGGGGGAAGTGTTGCATCATGATTAATGCGCCTATTTTTAAAATTATTTATAATATTATTTTTAATATATTTAAAATTTAAATTATAAATTTATTTATTTTTATAAAACAGATTATTAATATAAAATATTATGTACTATAAAACATTTGTATTTTGATACACTAAATACCCTACATGCTTTAAACTTTGATGTGGTAAATAAAGAGAGATTCTAGGTGCTACCTAAATTTATAGTTGTCTTATTATTGACTGGTTTAACCTTGTAAGATGGTTGAGACACGTTCTGGAAAGATGCAAGACACGTCTGAGGAGAGACTCAAGACTGAAGAATCTGCCAAACCGCAGCCCAGTGCAACAATATATATGAAAAAACGAAAGAAAAAAATAAAAGATAAAAAGATCAGGTGTTGAAATCAATAATAAAAATGGCATATCCTGACCAGGAGCACATGTGCTTTACAGAAGGCAGAGCGCCATCTGGTGGAACAGAAATCAACTAAACATTGATTTAGCCTGTTCCCTGATATTTGGCCAACCCAATTTCTTGATAAATCAAGAAAAGCCATCCACGAACGCGTTTCGCGCTTTTTGGCGCTCGTCAGCGTGGACTAGGCTGTACCACTGCGACCAAAAATATTTTTTGGTCCCAGTAGCTTCTTGAAAAAACAAGAAATGGGTATTTAAGGCCAAACTTGCGTAAATACGCTTAACACATGAAAAAACGAAAGTAAAAGATAAAAAGATCAGGTGTTGAAATCAATAATAATCAATAATAAATCAATAGCCTAGTCCACGCTGACGAGCGCCAAAAAGCGCGAAACGCGTTCGTGGATGGCTTTTCTTGATTTATCAAGAAATTGGGTTGGCCAAATATCAGGGAACAGGCTAAATCAATGTTTAGTTGATTTCTGTTCCACCAGATGGCGCTCTGCCTTCTGTAAAGCACATGTGCTCCTGGTCAGGATATGCCATTTTTATTATATATATATATATATATTCAGCCATTTTCGCCTTTGGAACTAATATAAACAAGCCAATATATTTTAAATACAAATATAAATTTTAAATTTATATAAATACTAGCGGATGTGTACCCGGCTTCGCCCGGGTTTTATCCGAGTGAAAGTTTGCCTAACGAATATTATATATTATGAAGTATAATAAACAATGCTAAAGATTAGTTTTAATTATTAATAAAGATTGTGTGTGAATATGTGAGAAAGATGTAATATCGTTGTTGTTTTCTTGGCCGACTGTTTTACATATGGTGTTATCTTAAAATTGCTTGTTTTGAATATTTTTTAGATTGAGTTGAATGAATTGCTGAATTTTTTTTGTATTTATATATAAATAAAATTAACTCTGTTGAATTTTTTGTATTTTATCGATAACAGCAAAGTTATGTATTTTAAAGTTAGGAAAAATATTTTGATGTTAAGCAAAACCTGCTCCATCTCGTTTTACATAAATGTTGAAAATTTGGTCGAAATTGATGCATTGTAACGAAAGTTTTTAGCGAACACCACTTATGAAATTTCCATTTATATAGAAGACTAGCGGATGTGTACCCGGCTTCGCCCGGGTTTTATCCAAGTGAAAGTTTGCCTAACGAATATTATATATTATGAAGTATAATAAACAATGTTAAAAATTAGTTTTAATTATTAATCAAGATTGTGTGTGAATATGTGAGAAAGATGTAATATCGTTGTTGTTTTCTTGGCCGACTGTTTTACATATGGTGTTATCTTAAAATTGCTTGTTTTGAATATTTTTTCAGATTGAGATTATTAGCTAGTATGTAAAAAAATTAACTCTGTTGATTTTTTTTGTATTTATATATAAATAAAATTAACTCTGTTGATTTTTTTTGTATTTATTCGATAACACCGAAGTTACGCATGTTAATGTTAGGAAAAATATTTTGATGTTAAGCAAAACCTGCTCCATCTCGTTCTCGTTTTACATAAATGTTGAAAATTTGGTCGAAATTGATGCATTGTAACGAAAGTTTTTAGCGAACACCACTTATGAAATTTGCATTTTATTAATATAGATTATGAAATTTGCATTTTATTAATATAGATATAATATAAATGAGTTTTGAAAATTGTTAAAAAAAATGAATCGGCCTATTTTCGAACCCTGGCCGCCCGCGTGGCAGGCGAGCATTCTACCACTGAACCACCGATGCTTTAAAAAAAATCAAATTCATTTATCGTCGCGACCAGTGCTGCGCCCTAGCGGTAAAAGACTGGAACTAACGCTTTTTGGTTTTTTATTTTTAAAAAAAGCACATTAACATTTTTAGTTTTTTGAATAGCCTATATGTTAAACGAAATCTTCAGCTACCTACATGCGAAATTCCATAATGATTGAGTCAGTAGATTTTGCGTGATGCGATAACAAACATCGATTTCGCATTTCATTTTTATATATATAAGGAAGGATTACGAATCTTTTAAATATGAAATATATAGATATAACTAGCTCTGATGTGTACCCGACTTCGCCCGGTTTTATCCGAATGAAAGTTTGCCTAACAAATATTATTGATAATAATAATATTCCGGAACACACAGAATATTATGATAATGATGATAATAATATTCGCTACAATTTATATTTAAAAAATATATGAAATATATTTATCAAGCAACATATCCACTCTCTCTAATGAATAGATTTTTAAAATATATATATATATAAATAAAAATATCTAGAGATAAACTACACGATCTTAGCCAAATGGCCGAGAAACGATATTTTATAAATAGAGATGACCTGGCTTCTTGTGTCTTCTGCACGAGTGAATGTTTCGCTATTAGAATTTTGTTCCTGCCTACTGAAAATTATTATCTGGCTTCGCCGTGGTCTGCTTTAGTGAATATTCCCCTAAAGAATTTTGCTTATGTCAATCAAGCATGATATAGCAATATTGTCATCATCATTTCTGACAAAAAAAAATATTGTTGCTCAGTACCTGGTTATTATAATTTTTCTTGATTAAGGCGCGACAAAAAAAAAACTCTTCCTGATTTAACTTCCTGTCCTGTTCAAATTTCAGTGAGATTAGTTACATATTGAGAGCATGCATAGCCGACAAACATATATATATATGTTCCCGGCTTCGCCCGATTTTTACCCGAGTAAAAGTTTGCCTTACGAACATTTGTTAAAACGATTCTAGCAAACATCCAGTCCCTATACTGAATCTACACTTGTCTATACCTCGATAATTAGAAATTTTTTCCAGGTCCCTTTAAAAATACTCGATAAGTTGAATAAAATCAATATCAATTGGTCCACTCGGTAATTTGAAGTTGAAGGAATAGTATCTTGCCACAAACGAACATCTACTTATATATTTGCCTTATTCTGTCTGTTTGTCTGTTTGAAGCTCACGGATGGGATTTTTCATAACCATCGGTGGTTCAGTGGTAGAATGCTCGCCTGCCACGCGGGCGGCCCGGGTTCGATTCCCGGCCGATGCATTTTTTTTTTTTTTACAATTTTTAAAACTCATTTATATATTATACAAGAATGACATCCACGGCGCCAATTTATAATTGTAACGAATAGTATTTGAATAAAAGCATTTAATCGGGTAAAACCCGGGCGTTGCCCGGGTCATTCGTATATAATAATTGTATAAACGAATGCAAGACAAAATCACCGCAAATGTTTCTTTTTTTTTAAGGCAATTTCTTTTTAAGGCAATTGTCGTTATTTATCGTTAATTTTTGTTTCGATTTTATTGAAAAAAAAAAACGATATGATGCCTTTAAAAAATGATCTTTATTACTATGCAGTTTTCTATTTAGTCAATATACCTAAGTTCATGTTGCAAATGTAATTATCTCTATCGATTTAGTAGGTGAAATGCAAAAAGAAAATCGACATGATGAAATATTTATGAAAATTCACATTTTTATTTTTATATTTTCAAGACACACACAGTTTGGGGCGGGACGTTTCACAAGAGAGACATCCACGGCGCCAATTTATAATTGTAACGAATAGTATATCAATTAAAACATTTTATAAACACACAGTTTGGAACGGGACGTTTCACAAGAGTGACATCCATGGCGCCAATTTATAATTGTAACGAATAATATTTGAATTAAAACGTTTTTAAAATATATGCGCACTCGGGTAAAACCCGGGCGTTGCCCGGGCCATTCGTCTAGTTTGTAAATAACTGTATTCAGCGAATGTACCCGGCTTCGCCCGGTTTTTACCCGAGTAAAAGTTTGCCTAACGAATATTTGTTAAAACGATTCTAGAAAACATCCAATCCACCTATATATAGATTTATACACGTATATAAATATTGTTATATGCGTTTGAATATATTTTTGAAACATTTTTTTTTTTTATATTTTAAATAAGCTATTGTCACGTTTGTTGATTTTATAATTAATTATTTCTTTTTTTTTTCTTAATGAATTATATATATTAATTTATAAATTCATTTTTGTTATCATCATCACATACAATGTAAATTTTTTATATAAACAAACGATAAAAACAACAACAATTAAATTCGCATCTCCATTATTATAAAACAACAGCAAATTAAATTAACAATGTAAAAATATATTTTAACATTACAACATTTTAAAATTTAACACAAAAAAGTTACAATATTTATATTAATATTGAAATGTCAAGTTTTTCTACAACGTCTTTAGAATATTATATTGCTATATTGAGTGACGAAGAAATAATTTATTAATTAAATTTAATTATTCAATGAAAATATTCAACAGATTATAAAAATATATATTACTCTGTATTTGTGAAATCATCTTTAAAATATTTCTTTGCTTGCTTGCTTAAGATTCCCTAGCTGTAGATAGTGGGTTTGAGTTGTTAATAATTGTCGACTTGTCGCCGTGACGTCATCAATAAATACTTTTACATCTTAGGATATTTCAAAGCTTGATTTCTACGCTACAACTGGTGGAGATACTGGACCGATACCCATTAAGAAATAAATAAAAAATTGATTCTGTTGAACCAGAAGAAACTTCTATGAATGTAAAGAAGGAAGGTACTCAGGTAAGCAACAACGTTGTTCAACATTTGCCAAGGAACCCTTCCATTTTCTCCGGGGAGGATGGTGAAGATCTCCAAAAATGGTTAAAAGGGTATGCACGTGTGGCAAGGTACAACCATTGGGACGAAACCCTTTGTCTTACTAAAGTTTATTTTTATCTGTCTGGAACTGCTCTCAAATGTTTCGAGAACAACGAAGAAAGCATACAGACTTGGAAGGAATTCACATCTCAATTAGAGAATGTGTTCGGAAAAAAAGAAAATTCAAAAATGAAAGCGGAGAAGAAACTTTAAACACGGGCACAATTAAAAGGTGAAAGTACCGAATGTTACATCCAGGATCTCCTGTGCTTGTGCAAAGAGGTTGATCCTCAAATGAGCGAGGAATATAAAATCTCCCACCTCATGAAGGGGATAGCTGAGGAGCTTTATCAAGCACTCCTACCGAGGGATGTACAGAGCACCGAGCAATTCATTACAGAATGTCGCCGTGTCGAAGCGCTCCGTTGTAGGCGAGTTACCCCAACCAGGTACGAGCGCCTACCAAATGTAGCCTCTCTCTGTGACCAGGATGACTGAGAAGATCTGTCATCTTTGATTAGGCAAATTGTTCGTGAGGAGGTACAGCGGGCATTGGGCTCTCCTCGGGAGGAACCAAAAAATGCTACAATCGAAGAAATTGTAAAGGAGGAGATTGGAAGAACCCTGGCGCCAATCTCAAAGTCTAGGAGAAGTCCCCCTCATAAGGAAAGACCCCGACAGTTTTTAAATACTAGATATGAGGCCGAAACGATAAGACCGCACCCTGAACCTTGATACCCAAAACAAGGAGGAAGACGCGACACCAATGATTGGCGTACAACTGAGGGAAGGCTAATCTGTTTCTACTGCGGACGCCCAGGTCACGTCGTCCGCTATTGCCGTGACAGGAAGAGACACAATGAGGAAAGGAGAAATGTTTATTCCCAAAGAAAGCAAGACGCAATGGTATCCTACAACTCTCGAGCTGAATCTCAGGACCCCAGTGACGAATCATCGAGGAAAACTTTCACTCGCTACCGAAGCCCTACTTCATATCGCGATCGAAACAGACAACATTTCTCACCTGCTAGAAGATCTAGCTGGACGCCCCGCCATTGAAACTAGATGATAGACCACATTGGAGTTTAGGCCGTAAAGTAATAAAGTCTCCCCTTGCCGACCACAGTAGAAATGAGAAAAAGCTACCTTGACGTAAACATAGACCTACCAAATCCTAGAAGATATCTCAACTGAAAGAAGACATCCACCGCAGTCACCTGAAAATATCCCTGGCTATAGTACTAGTTCTTAAGACTGACGACGTAAGTCTCCTGCTCTCTCTATAGGAGGAGGCTATGTGACGAGGAAATGATTAATACAACAACAACAAAACAACTTTATTAGGGCGTCTTGCCCTATACGGATTCGCCGTTGAATTACAAACAATATTAAACACAGGGGAAAAGGGAGAGATAAAGTATTTACATTTGAGGTATGGCAAACAGGGTGACTTTAAACATATATTACACATATATCATTAATGGGGAAGAGAAATAAAATGAATGATAAATACAAAAGTATAACATGAGAATATGAAGAACATTGAAAACAATATGAAAATTACATTAACAAAGGATAAGTGGAAAACATTTGGTGATTATAAGAAAAATAAAAGGCATTTGTGAAAAGGCAATAATCAGTAGGCAAAAGGTAATATATACAAAAAGGAAAATATGTAAATAAGAATGAACATGTAAATCTTTTTTCTTTTTAAAAAAGTAATGGCAGGAATAAAGAATGGTCATTTTAAAGAAAAAGAATCAAGGTGGACAAAAACAAAAGTTAAAATTTACATATATGTTGGTAATGACAAATTTACATAGTTAGGTGCGCTTTTAGATATAATTACATATGAATAAGGTAAAGTGCGTAAAAATACAAAAATCCTAAAAACAAAAACATTGTGAAATCAAATTAAATAAGAAAAGATCAAAATACTAAAAGTTTGGGAATTTAAATATAAGATTGCAATGTGAAGCTATAGGGTATTGTGGTTATTAGCGAAAAAAAAAAATATATAGTGGAAATATGATTTAAAAAAAAAAACTG